ATGCAATTGATTTTACTGAAATACCACAAGCAGTTTTTATTTCATTTATTGGGGCCCCTCAATTTGAACTTCAGTATTGTTGACAAGACTTCTCCTCAGGCCTAAGTACAGGAAAAAATAATTTCCAGGTGTACTGAGTCTGGGATTGGCGATCTATTCAGGATAGTACAATCTACTCAAGATGGGCTCTAGGATCTGAATCTTTGGCCCTTTCCTCTGCGATATTCTTTGCTCAGAAGGGAGGATGACACTTCAGTCCCTAGCATCCCTAGCACACCCAACCCGGAGTCCCTTCCTCTCCTGTAGGCACCGCCAGGGGCATCGTGATTGCCACAGGTGACCGGACAGTGATGGGCCGCATAGCCACTCTCGCCTCGGGCCTGGAGGTGGGGCGGACGCCCATCGCCATGGAGATTGAGCATTTCATCCAGCTGATCACAGGGGTGGCTGTGTTCCTGGGCGTCTCCTTCTTCGTGCTGTCCCTCATCCTGGGCTACAGCTGGCTGGAGGCCGTCATCTTCCTCATTGGCATCATCGTGGCCAATGTGCCTGAGGGGCTTCTGGCCACCGTCACTGTGAGTGCATCAGGCCGAGGCACCACGCAGTGGGGGGGTCTCGTTGCCCTTTCCTTGAAAGGATAAAGGAACAGCTGCTGTTGTCTTTCAGCAGTGTTTCCCTTTGGGTCCCTAAAGTCACAAATCGGATGTGCACCATACTCAGAAGACATTTAACACACAGCTCAGAGTTTGAGTCTGAAAAAAAAAATCTCAAGTTGGGCTGTATCTGGGCACTCAGTTTTTCTTCTAGCACTTACCATGGTTGGCTTTTCTCGCCATCTATGATCTCACACTCCCCACCCCTACCCCTGCGGACCAGGGCTCATTCTGCCCAACTGTCCATCTGTAAAGGCTCTCTCCAAGGTCACCAGTGACTAACTAGCAAATCCACAGACCTTCTCTCAGCTCCTATCCTGAACTCTGGTGCCGAAATGGATACTGCTATCCACTTTCCTGGAACTGTGTCCTTCATTGCTAACTGTGATGTGTCATTCTCCAGCCTCAGCACTGTGCCTTCTTAGACCTCTAGAATAAGCCCATCTCCTCCCTTTTGTGTGGACAGCTCTCACATCCCTGCACCCTCTCTGGAGCTTTAGGCAAATATTTCAATGTCCTGCTGAGCATTTCACTTTAATATACACCTGTGATATCAACTGAACACATCCGAAGTTGAATGAATTCACTATTTACCGCTAGATTCCACCCATTCTGTTTGTGGCACAGGGTTAAGGAGGTGCATGGTCTGGAGAACCTATGGCACGCATGCCACAGCAAGCATATAAAGGCCTCTCAGGGACGGTTTTGCAGGTTGTATGTGTTGTTTTTGCAAAAAAAAAAAAAAAAGCCCCAGTATTCAGGTTTAATTGCAGTGTGGCCACTTTGCAATAAATAAGTATGTTTTGGGTTATAGTTTGGGCAGTCAGTCTCTGAAAGATTCGCCATCACCAGTCTAGGGTAAAGTCTAGCTACAGTCTCGGGTAAGGACATGGGCATCTGTGGCTCCAGCTTTACCCCTCTCTTCTTATTCCTCTCTCTCCCTGCCGCTGGCCTCAGGTGTGCCTGACGCTGACCGCCAAGCGCATGGCGCGGAAGAACTGCCTGGTGAAGAACCTGGAGGCGGTGGAGACGCTGGGCTCCACGTCCACCATCTGTTCGGACAAGACGGGCACCCTCACCCAGAACCGCATGACTGTTGCCCACATGTGGTTTGACAACCAGATCCACGAGGCCGACACCACTGAAGATCAGTCTGGTGATTGTGTGCTTTGGAGGGAGTGAAAGGATATGAGGGGGCTGAGGAGGCCCTGAGCACGGCTGGGGCGAGTTAAGGGCTCTAGACAGGCACCAAGCTCCTGTTCTCTCTCATCTCTTCCCAGGGGCCACTTTTGACAAACGGTCACCCACATGGACAGCCCTGTCTCGGATCGCTGGTCTCTGCAACCGAGCCGTCTTCAAGGCTGGGCAGGAGAACATCTCCGTGTCCAAGGTAGGTGTCAGCCCACACACACCCGGGTGTGTTGTGGGGAGGTCTCGGAGTCCCCAGGCTGATCGCTGCTCTCCCTCTCACACGTTGTGGCTGCCTGGGGCTTCTGTGCCTCTTCACCTGGTCTTCCACTGCCTTCCCTCCCTCCCTGTGACACCGGCTTCTCTTCCCTTCTGGCAGCGTGACACAGCTGGCGATGCTTCTGAGTCAGCTCTGCTCAAGTGCATTGAGCTGTCCTGTGGCTCCGTGAGGAAGATGAGGGACAGAAACCCCAAGGTGGCGGAGATTCCTTTCAACTCTACCAACAAGTACCAGGTCTGGTTGGGCTGCCGGGACAGAGGAGGAGAGAGAAACCAAAGGGGGCATGGGAGGCAGGGAAGTAGACAAAGCCAAAAGGAAATCAGTAGAAGGAATTAATGGAAGCACCTGGGGATCGTGTCCTCTTACTCCTGCTTTAGTCCCAGGACAACTTGTTTCGCTTCTTGTCGGTTACCATCCCCTGCTAACTTACGTGTACTCCGTGGCCCTCTCAGATCTTCTTCCCACAGCTCCCCACCTACTATTGAAGACTACTACATAGTCCTCCAGCTCTGCCCCTCCATTTAATAGAAGCACACTTCTATAATTCCCTTATGATGTCCCTCGGCCTCTAGGTACCTGTTAAATGCCCGGAACAGCCTTAGCCGCGCTCTGTGTGAGCCACGGAGGTAAAACCCACTGGGCCATTGCAGGGTGGTGGATGTGACCACCCGGGCGCCTGCACTGCCTTAACTGACATGGATGACTGTTCTTTAAATGAGTGGCTTTCCTGTGGAAGTGACTCTCAGGTTGTAACACTGGGACTATGAGCAAGCACCCCTCCACACGTGGAGATTCTCCCTTTGTGGACAGTCTCTGGGGGAGTGGGGTTAGGTCTGTTGTGGCAGGTGTCTTTACCAGCTGCTGCTCTGTATCAGACCACAGGTTGGGCACTGGAGCCATGGAGAGAAGCCCGGCTCCTCTGTCACTGCCTTTCCCCTCTCTAGCTGTCCATCCACGAGAGAGAAGACAGCCCCCAGAGCCACGTGCTAGTGATGAAGGGAGCCCCGGAGCGCATCCTGGACCGCTGCTCCACCATTCTGGTGCAGGGCAAGGAGATCCCCCTAGACAAGGAGATGCAAGATGCCTTTCAGAACGCCTACATGGAGCTGGGAGGCCTGGGCGAGCGTGTGCTGGGTGAGCAGGGGGCAGGGCCGCACCTCTGCAGTGTTCCTGGGACTAGGGGTGTCCAGGCGGCCACTGTACTGCGCTGACTCCTCCCTTCTGTCTCCCTACCAAGGCTTCTGCCATCTGAATCTGCCTTCTGGAAAGTTTCCTCGGGGCTTCAAATTCGACACAGATGAGCTGAACTTTCCCACAGAAAAGCTCTGTTTTGTGGGGCTCATGTCTATGATCGACCCACCCCGGGCAGCTGTGCCAGATGCTGTGGGCAAGTGCCGAAGTGCAGGCATTAAGGTACCGACCTCCCTTCCTCCTCTCTGTCCGCCTCTCCCTGATGCAAAAGGTCAAGGCATTGCCACAGCCACTGCCCTAGGAGACACAGGCCCCCAGGGGCTTCCTCCCCATGGACACAGCATCCATCGGCAAGGAAAAGTGGATCCTCCCTCACCCTTTTGCTCAGGGCGGTCGGCTTCCCCTGTCCGGCTCTGTGTCCCTGACACAGCCTATTGCCTTGAGCACAGCTCTCCAGGCTCCCTGGCTCACTACAGTGACCACGCCCTCCTCAGAGCCCAGTTTGTTCTTCACTCAGCACTTGCGTATTGTTTGCCAACTGTATATCAAGCACAGAGCAAGGTGCTGGCCGTAACAAACCTCCCTTCTGTCCTGGAGCTCAAGGCAGCTCTTTGCCAGCCCCTTTGCCGGGCACGCATTGTGATGCTGTCACCTGCTCCCAGTCCATGCATTTCAACCAGTGGTGAGTGCCAGGTCCTGTGCTCAACACTGGGTGCAGAGATGAACAAGACACAGATCCTGGCCTCCTCATCCCACGGTCCTTCATGGGGAACAGATGCCTTTACAGCTGCCACAGAACAACTGTTAACAGTCAGGCACCTACTCTGGGTCAGAGACTCTGAACCCAGTCTATTTTCTTTTTAACTTTTCCATAAATCAGGCACCATGCTCATCCCTAAGCCTTTGTGATCTTATTTAATCTCCTCCACAGCCCTGTGGGTACAGCTGTGTTTTCCCTTTTTCAGTGAGGGAAACTGAGGCACAAAATATCACGCCCTGGCCAGAGCCAGGATTTGAAGCCAGTTGGGCAACCATTCCTTACCCACCACACCAGAAGACTTGGTCCTCTGTGTGTGTGTGTGTGTGTGTGTGTGTGTGTGTGTGTGTGTGTGTGTGAATTCTGAATCCCATAACCACTTGGTTGCTGAAGTATACATCATTCCTCCCACCTGCCATGAGAACTCAGAGCCAGTAGATAGAGCCCTGTTGGCTGGTCCGGATGCCTGTGCTCTTGTTGGTTCACAGCCTCTCACAGTGATGGGAGCTCTTGCAGAGGCCAAGAAAGGACTCTGTGGGAACTGGGAGCCGGGAGCAGTTAATTCTGCTGCAGGGAACTGGACTGTGCTTGACAGAGGGAATGATATTTGATCTGGGCATTGGAGGTGGCTGAAGAGTATTCTGTACGGCAGTGGGAGAGGGGGAGGCAGGCAAGACCAGGGAACAGTGCGTACCCTGACAAGGCTGCACTGTGGGAGGGCATGTGAGCCAGCAGGGGAGAGATGGACAGGAGCACTGGGGACGGAGCCTGAAACGTTGGGGCAAGGCCAGTTGGAAAGGCATTGCTTAAATGCTACAGGGCTTTATCCTGTGGGCCACAGATGTCACAGACATAGATCTGAGGCTACCTGGATAGAGAAGGGACTGAATCTGGGGGAAAGCTAGAGCTAGGGGGGCAGGTTTAGAGGCTGTGCAATAGTTTAGATGAGGAATAACTAGGACAGAGACATGGAGGGAAATAGCTGCATTTGGGAATATTTTGAGAACTTGGTGACTAATTGGACACAGGACATAAGGAATTCCGATATGGGAGTGGAAGGGACAGAATGAGCAGAAGAGATAGTATCTAAGGCAGGAAGTACAGGAACAGGCATGGTGAGGCGGTGGAAGCAGAGGGAATGCATCTGAATTTGGACCTTAAATTTGAAGCATATAACAGCGGTCCATCCACCACCTTTTTGGCGAGGTACAGGCCTTGTGAAAGACAATTTTTCTCTAAACTGAGGGATGGGGGATGGGGAGGGTGCTGGTGGATTCAGGATGATTCGGAAAAGCCTGCAACCCAGGTCCCCCAAATTCACAGTTCACATGAGAATCCGATGCCATCTGACAGGAGGCAGAGCTCAGGTGGCAATGCTAGTGACGGGGATAGATAAGGCTTCGAGATCACCCACTGCTCATTCCTGCTGTTTGGCCAGGCTCCTAACAGGAGCTGCCACTGGTCCACAGCCTGGGGGTTGGGACCCCTGGACTCCAGGGAGAGTCGGAATATGGTTCAGAACTCAAAAGAGAGGGTTAAACCTGGATATTTAAATCTCATTAGCACACAGGTGCAAATTAAAGGCCTCCTGGTACATTTTATTATATGGCCCAGGAAGAGAACTGAATCAAAAAGAGGGCAGAGAAGTCAGGCGTGGTGGTGCACGCCTGTAATCCCAGCACTCGGGAGGCTGAGGCAGGAGGATCGCTGTGAGTTCGAGACCAGCCTGGGCTACATAGTGAGTTCCAGGTCAGTCTCAACTACATAGTGAGACCCTGTCTCAAAAAAACAAACAAACAAAAAGAGAGGGCAGAGAATGAAACCCTGGGCCAGACCAAGTGGAGAGAGAGATTAGAGGAGCCAGTGAGGAGAGGAGAGGGTGGCGGGACAGCTGAGGTTTGCTGGGCATCTGCCGAATATCTCTTAATCTCCAGACAACCTGGAAAGGTCCAAATCATCCCTCGCATTGTGTGAGACACAGTGCACTGACTTGTCCAAGGCCCTACAGCTTGAGAAGGCCAATGTTTAGACTGAGTTCCCCTGTCCAGCTCTTCCGTTCTGCCAGACTGCCACCCTGAGGAGGCTGGAAGGGGCGTGCCAAGGATGGAGGGAAGCCAAGAATGAAGGACGGGTGCAGGCCAGGGGACTGTAGGCTTTCCAGGGGGTGGCGGCCAGCATGAATGCCTCAGATGGAGGGGTCACGGAGGACGGGGATCGCAGAGATGCTTTTGAATTTCTTTGGGAGGCAGAGGGGCCTGGAGAGTTGTGGGGGTGGGACAGAAGGCTGTAGGACCTGAAGAGCCTCCCTCAAGATCTCTGGGATCCTTCCAGCTCTGGCTGTATCATATTTCATGAAGCCCACATCCTGAAACATCTCCTGAACAATCCCAGTGAGTGGAGACTTCTCTCCCAAGAGGGCCCCATTAGCTTGTCACTCTGTTGTGGGTGTTCTTCTGCACTTAATCCAACACAATTGGTTCGTCTATCTTCCTTACCGAACACACTCCCTCCCACCTCTCCATTATTAGACCGGGATCTGCCAGTCCAAGACATCTAGCAATCTAGCTTTACCTGATTTGGGAAAAGGAAAAAAGAGGGGGAAACTCTCAATGCTGCTTTCGTTTCCTCTCTTCACCTTTGCACCAGGTGATCATGGTGACCGGGGACCACCCTATCACTGCCAAGGCCATCGCCAAAGGCGTGGGCATCATATCCGAGGGTAATGAGACTGTGGAGGACATTGCAGCCCGGCTCAACATTCCTGTGAGCCAAGTCAACCCCAGGTGAGGCCTTTGCGGGATCCCCCTGCATCTGATCAACACAGCCCTGAAACTGTTTGACAGCACCTCAGGCCTTTAGACTACGGCCTTACCTTTGACACCTTTGTGACTGGTTCCTCAGTCCTCAGTGTGCGTCCGTGCAGCACCACTGATGAGCTATGTAAGGCATCACTGTACCCTTCATTTTTGTAAGTGCAAAGTGAGGGTGACCTAGCAAGCTACCTATGCCCTCGGGTGCCACGTGGTGAGGATTAGTGTCACTGCCACCGAGAGCATTGGGGAAACGGAGCATCAAGGGGGAGGAGCAGTGAAGCGACGGGGGGCTCTACTTAGTGAGGGGGCTGAGGGAGCCACGAAGCAGCAGGACAGGCCCAGGCTCGGGCGGTAAGCTGTGCTGCCCCACCCTCCAGAGAAGCCAAGGCGTGTGTGGTGCACGGCTCGGACCTGAAGGACATGACGTCGGAGCAGCTGGACGAGATCCTCAGGGACCACACGGAGATTGTGTTTGCCCGGACCTCCCCGCAGCAGAAGCTCATCATCGTAGAGGGCTGTCAGAGGCAGGTGAGCAAGGCAGCGGGTGGTGGGCACCCGGGCAGGCGAAGCCAGGAGCCGAGCGGCCTGTCCTCCAGCACTGGTGGGTGTCTTCTCCCCAGGGAGCCATTGTGGCGGTGACAGGGGACGGGGTGAATGACTCCCCTGCGCTAAAGAAGGCCGACATCGGCATCGCCATGGGCATCTCCGGCTCTGACGTCTCCAAGCAGGCAGCTGACATGATCCTGCTGGATGACAACTTTGCCTCCATCGTCACAGGCGTGGAGGAGGGTGAGGGGGCTGCATGGGCCGGGATGGCGTCACGGGAAGCCAGAGCTCTGCTTCTCAGACCTTTCATCCCCACTCAGGACTCAACTCGGGATTCCAGAATGCCCCGTCCTGTGCTAGTTCCCCTCCGACATAAACCTTCCTCCTGCAGGAAAACTGGCAGCCACACCTCCAGGCTCGGGTGGGGAGGGTCCCTCTAGCCCCCTGATGCCGCCCCACAGGCCGCCTGATCTTCGACAACCTGAAGAAATCCATCGCATACACCCTGACCAGCAACATCCCCGAGATCACCCCCTTCCTGCTGTTCATCATCGCCAACATCCCCCTCCCTCTGGGCACCGTGACCATCCTCTGCATTGACCTGGGCACCGACATGGTGAGCGTGGAGGGGGCAGGCGGGGCAGCCACACAGACCAGGGCGTGGGGTGGGCCACGGGTGAAGGACGGGCCGCCTGGGCAGAGGAGCAGAGAAGCCGAACGAGGCCTGGAGGGTTGCAGAATTGTGTCCAAGATTCTTTCTAGGCCTGGGGTGGTAGCACATGCTCATAATCCCAGCACTCAGGAGGCTGAGAGAGGAGGATGGAAAGTCTGAGCCCAGCCTGGGCAATTTAGCAACTTAATAAGACCCTGTCTCAAAATAAAAATATAAAAGGGCCAGATGTGGTGGCTCATGCCTATAATCCCAAAAGAGACCCTGTCTCGAAAGGAAGGAAAGGAAAGGAAAGGAGGAAGAAGGAAAGAAAGAAAGAAGGAAGGAAGGAAGGAAGGAAGGAAGGGAGGGAGGGAGGAAGGGAGGAAGGAAGGAAGGGAGTGCTGGGCTGTAGCTTAGTTCAGTCTCCATCAGTCTTTACTGCCATCAGCTTCTGTCCCGTTGTCTCCCACATCCCTGGAATACCCTCCCGCCTCGTGTCCTGCCACACAGGTCCCTGCCATCTCCTTGGCCTACGAAGCAGCTGAAAGTGACATCATGAAGCGACAGCCGCGAAACCCCCAAACCGACAAGCTTGTGAATGAGCGGCTGATCAGCATGGCCTACGGACAGATCGGTGTGCTGGCCTGGGGCTGGGGAAGGGACTCCACAGCTTCTCTCCCTAGGGCTCTGGAGGGAGGAACCTAAGCGAAGTTCCAGGACAGGGCTCAGCTCCCTGAGGGCCCTCAGGTGCTGGCCCCTTCCTGTTTCTCGGCTAACCCCAGCCCTGCCCTTTGCCCACCGCCCACAGGTATGATCCAGGCTCTGGGGGGCTTCTTCACCTACTTTGTGATCTTGGCGGAGAATGGGTTTCTGCCATCAACGCTGCTGGGAATCCGCCTCGACTGGGACGACCGGTCCACGAACGACCTGGAGGACAGCTACGGACAGGAGTGGGTGAGTGGGCTGCTTCGGCGCATGCGCAGAGAGGGGACGGCTGGGCCCGGTGGGGCGGCGCTGTACCCCGGCTCTTGTCCTCCTCTGACACTGGCTGTGCTCTGCCCGCCCTCCCCAGACCTACGAGCAGCGGAAGGTGGTGGAGTTCACGTGCCACACGGCCTTCTTTGCCAGCATCGTGGTGGTGCAGTGGGCTGACCTCATCATCTGCAAGACCCGCCGCAACTCTGTCTTCCAGCAGGGCATGAAGTGAGCACCCACTCACCCCGGCAGGGCGCTCTGGGAGCGGCCACCAACCCACACAGGCCGGGCTTCCCCGGTCAGGTCACCCCAACACCCTTGGTCCAGGTCTGCCGAGGGGGCGTTGGATTTTAATCATCAGGCTGTTTATCCATAGCCAGGTTTGAACTAGACCAAGAAATGAGGAAGAAATGATGGGACTATTTCAAACGAGGCCTGATTTTACCCCCAAACTGTACTTCATAATCTCCTTCCACCTTCCTTCCTTGCTTTGCTTCTTTCCATACTTCCGACCTTCTTTCTTCCCCTATTTCCTCCCTCCCTCCCTTCTCTATTCAAGTCCTCTGTCCAGCCCTGAGCTCAGGCTTTCCCGTGCTCCCCACCCCACTCAACAGGTAGCCTGGTGCACAGCGCTGTCCCTGCAGTTTGGGCCTCCACCTGGGGACCCTGAGCTGCCCTGGGTAAGGTGTGCTACCATGAGTTACCCTGTGCCGACCACCGCGATAAGTAGGCACATGTCTTTAGCCTCACGATGGCGTGACCAAGTTGACGTTGTTGTTTACACTGCATCACAACAGGCCTCCGAAAGATTAGATGTGTGGTGCCTAAGAGTACCCAGCTGGTAAGGAAGGGTCCAGCAGCCGTGTCCGAGGTACACCCTGCACTGCGGTGGCTCACCTGAGAATGCGATAACTTATGATTCTAGCACGAATGGGGTTGAGGCTGAAGATGTCAGGCTGGTTCTTTTCATTTTTTTCTTCCCCTAAACAGTGGTCGCAATTGCCCAAGTGAGTTTTGTCCCAGAGATTCCAAGAGACTGGGTACAGTCCTAGAGGCTGGGACTTATGGTAGGTGCCATAGGAACGTGAGAACAGACAAACTGACCAGGTACAGCCATCTGAGAGACAAACGGAAAATTGCACCATAGAAGTCCAGCTGCGCACAGGGAAGGAGCAGTAACAGCAGCAAACTACCTGGTCAGAGGAAGCCTCAGGGTACTCAGCCTCCCCCAGGGTCCCTGGCACAGTAGGATTCTCAGAGATGCTGTCTGCATTATTTCAGGACACTTACTGACCACTTCCACTAGCCTATCAGAAGGGGACTTGCTAACCGGGTGTTCTTTGGCAAAAGCCAAGAAAACATATCCCAAAGTAGTGACTCCATGTTAACCCATAGCTCTGTTTGGAAGCCATGAATTTAAAAAATACATTTTAGAAGGGGAAATGGCTGGGGCCTGATGCCACAGGCCTATAATCCCAGTACTTGGGAGGCTGAGGCAGGAGGATTACCATGAGTTGGAGGCCAGCCTGGGCTACATGGTGAGTTTCAGTTCAGCTTGAACTACATAACAAGATGCTGTCTCAAAAATCAAAATAAAATAAATTAATAAAAGGGGAAATGTATTCACAACTTATTAACAAAAACAACTTGAGAGACCAATTAAAATGAGGCCTTTCTGAAACAAAAGCAAGAAGGTCTTTAGTGAATGAAAAATTGGGGGACCATGGTTTAAGCCATAAAAAGGTGCTTTTCGCAAGACTGCAGAGGATTCAATAACAATGTCACTGAGCACTTACCATGTTCCAGAGCTTTTCTGCAACAGTTTCTGTAATTTCCCTGGCAACTCCATGATATAAGGGTAAAATCTATTTTACAGAGAAAGAAACAAAGTTCAGAGAAGTTAAACATTGTTTACCACCCAGGGCTGGGAAGGGTCAGAGCTGGAAACAGATCCTATGTGTCTGATTCCAGAATCTGCCCTGACGCCTGTTCCCCACTTACAACAGTCAGGGACACCCTCGGGGTAAGGACTTGCAAACGTAGTCTTCTTCTCATCTGTGATGAACAAGCACCAGGGCCTAAGGGAGTTGCTGAGAAAGCCTGAGACAGGCCTGGGCTCTGCATGAAAGAAGCTTTCAAAGCATCTTGCTAGGAGCCAGGTGTGATGGTGCGTGTCCATAACCCCAGTGTGTCTGTAACCTCCTTCTGGGAGGCTGAAGCAGGAGGATTGCAAGTTCGAATCCAGCATGGGCAACTTCGCAAGACCAAGTCTTGAGAGAAAAGAAAAAAAGGAAGGAAGGAAAAAGAGAAAGAAAAAAAAAAAGAAAGTGAGAGAGGAGGAGTCTGGGGGTATAATTCAGTGCAAAGGCCCTAGATTCAATCCCTAGTACCAGAATAAAAAAAAAAAGGCATCTTGCTGAGGAGACAACACCCTCCCAGGCTGTTCCTGGAGCAGTAAGATGATAGGGGCCGGGATTTAGCTCAGTGGTTCCGCTGCCTGCCATGCAAGGTCTTGAGTTCAATCCCAGGTACCAAAAAAATAAGATGATAATTTCCTGAGGGCAGGCCCCTTGTTGACCACTGCATCTCCAGCACAGAACACATCACCCCACATAATTATCTGATGAATGAATATACATGCAATGGATGATAATAAGCAGAAAAAAAGAAACTTCTTTCTTTGGTTACACAAAGCCGGAGAAGACATGTCTGAGGCGGACACAGGAAGATTTCATATGTAACCTTCCTTCATGTGTCTTTTCTCCTCTTTCTGTTCAGGGTCGTCTGCGGGGGCTGGCTCACTCCCCCCAGCTCCCCTTCAAATGCTACCTACTCTCCTTTCTTTGTCTTTCCAGGAACAAGATCCTGATTTTCGGGCTCCTGGAGGAGACAGCGTTGGCTGCCTTTCTGTCTTACTGCCCTGGCATGGGGGTGGCCCTGCGCATGTACCCCCTCAAGTGAGTCTCTAAGGCAGCCGAGTGAGCGGCTCGTGGTGCCTTGAGCCACCCTGGGATCCAGGCCTGATGCATTTGAAGCCTACTTTGTGTGATCTGTGCCCACCTCTGCTGCTCCTGACACCTTCCTCTGTTGCCTTCAGGGTCACTTGGTGGTTCTGCGCCTTTCCCTACAGTCTCCTCATCTTCATCTATGACGAGGTCCGAAAGCTCATCCTGCGGCGATATCCTGGGGGTAAGCACCTCCATGCCCACCCCAAGCCCAGCAAAGTCCACCCCCCCTCCAGCAGGCTGCCCCTCCAGGGCTCCAACCACACTTCACACCCACGAGGCACCCTGCTCTGGCTGCTCAGAGCCCTCAGATCATGGGGTTCCAGGTCCCATTAGCCCCCACTCTCTGGAACCTGCCACCCTGCCCTCCTGTCAGATTCTACATCCCAGCCAACTTACTGGGGGTCTCCAAGGACTCACGGACACCCCTGGCCCCGGAATCACTGAACATCAGAATTAGAAAGGCCCTTTGAGGTCATCCAGTCACTTCCACGTGTTACAGATAAGGAGAGGAAGTACAGAGGTGAATTTATTTGTTCAGAGTCTTAAAATAATGAGAGCAGAGCTGGCCCCTGGGTTGTAACCTTGTTCTGTTTTGTTCCAACAAGCATTCTCTATCACTTACTGGGTTAAAAGCATCTGGCCTGCAACCAAACCAAACACGGCCCATGGGTAGTGTTTAGTTTGCTATGTCCAATATTTGTGTGTGTGTGCCTTTTAATTGGCCTAATATCTAAAACCTAGGGATTTTTCACATAAAATCTGAACTTCTGACTTTGGAAAAAAATCAAGAGCTGTCAAAGCTCATGGCCCCGTTTTTCACCCCACCAGTGAGCAGCTGCCTCCTCAGAGTTGCACTGCTTCCCCACAGGCATTGGTATTTCAGCCTCCTCCGCTGTAGCCCACCCTCCCTGTGCTAAATGCATGAGTCTCCTAAAGGCGGGCTGCCCTCTCGTTTCCTGCCTACTGGCTCTTCTCCCTCCCCTTCCCTCCAGCAGCCTCTTCAGAGGCCCCTCCTTCCACCTGGCCTCAGCTTCCCAAGCCCCTGAGAGACGATCTCTTACTTCCTTTTGAGCTCCTGTTACAGCCCTCGCCCCAATCTCTCTAACAGGCTGGGTGGAGAAGGAGACTTACTACTGAGCCTCTGGAAGAAGCACCAGGCACAGAAGGAGAGACGGGGTGCTCTGGAGGTGTCGCAGGGATGGTGATGGGAAGGGATGGGGTAAACGGGGTGTAGTATTTCAGGGGAAGGTTTCAAGAGAAAGAATGAGACAGGCTAAGTTGGCAGGAGTAGGTAAGTAGGCTCCTAGGGTTTGCTCCGTAGTTGTAACTGAAAACTTGCGTTAGACCTGGATCCTTTTCCATCCCGCTCTACTACGCTGTCTATTTTTTCAAGGTTGCCCCAGACCTCCCCATGTCCTATACCTTCCCCCCACCTCCTATTGAAACAGTTCAACATCCAAAGGCTGGGACCTGTCTAATGCAGAGAAGTAAATCCTCAGATCACCAAGGGACCCTTCATGTCGCCTCGTTTTGCTTACACCCTCCCCTTCCTGCCTAGCTCTGTCCCCTCTGCTTCCCCTCAGACCTTGAAGTCACAGAAGCACCTCCTTGAGTACAAGAGCCTGAGACCAGAATGGGAAGCTGGCTGGAGAGGCCAGACCTGTCTGCCAGTCAAGGCTGACCAGGCACCTGGAGAGGAGAGATGGGGGGGAGGCTGGGCTGCTGGCTGGAAGAGGAGGACGGCAAAGGAGTAGAAGCAGAAAAGGATAGCAGTGGTGCCAGCGACCAGACAGATGTTGGAAAAGTCTTGAGTCTCCAGGTAGATGGGATGGGCTCCAGCACCATGTCCTACCCTTTTGGATACCCCACTGACAGATCAAATTCACATCTCATCAGAGTAGCAGCAGAGACATGACCAGGAGGTAACTGGGGGAGCCGCATAGAGCCACACCATGTGCCTCTTAGTGACCCACTGGCCCTTAGCTAGCAGTCCTCTTGGTCCACAGACATGGAGGTCACAGAAGTTCCAGCCACCTCGGCCACACAGGCTTGACAACACCCTACCTTTTCCAACACCGTGTCCTTGGACACTCCGTGCTGCTTTGAGACCACATATAACTGCCAGTTCTCTCCCAGAACCCCTTCCCCCAATCCCTTCCTCTCTATGCCCATCACAATGAACCTGCATCATTCCCGGCACTGGCAAGACAGCCCTAGAAAAGGAGTTCCCCAGACACTGGCTGGAATTGGGGTGGAGAAGTTCCTGGAACATTCCTATCTTCTAGGGACTTGCAAAATCAGCTATGGTCAGAAACTTTGGACAATAAGAGGGAAAATATTAAGAGACCTGCCTTTGACCACTCAGATGGCAGGGCCCCTCCAGCCAGCAAGTGCCCTTCACACCAATGATCATAGTACTGGCTTTCCCTCAGAAAGGGAGTTGGTTTCAGGTTCCTATGGCAGATACTTTTCTTCATTTTCTTCCCTCCCCATCTCTCACCTTTGCTCGCCAGGCAGCTCTGCCCATTCTCAGCCTAGCTTAGAAGGCACTGAGATTGTCCTGCGTAAAGAGATCTAGAGCCAAGCTAGTGAGAGACACTAAGGAAAATGGAAAGCTGAAAGCAGAAAGGAAGGAAGCCCGGGAGACACACTAGGTCAGACCCAGAAACAGCCTCCCAATGGCTATTATTTTCATTGAACTGGAATTTTGCTTCATCAGAAGTACCTTGAAATAAGTGAATCATTGCCTTGGGTTGGAAATCTAAGTGGGATACTATATTTATTTGGGCCTGATTAATTTGCAATTGACTGTGGAAAAATGTTTATCTTTACACAATCAATAAAAACTGCTTTGGTTTAGTAAATTAAGAGCATAAGCAATATTGCTAGGAATGGCTTATTTAGCCTACCTAAACCAATACTTTCCAGGCACTTTAGAAATATCCGTTTAGAAGTAGCAGATGCATGGGCTAATTATCATCAACTGTGACGTATTTGTTAAAGAAACATCTACAGCAGATCTTTACTGGTGACCTTTTGCAAGACATTACTTTGAAGCACTACATGTGTACTTGAGAATAATAAAGTTGCATTTCTTTATGAAAAAAAGACATTTCTTTCACTTTTGATTTCTGTAACTCATCCTTGCCTCCCTCTCAAACTGTGATATTGAAATAAGTGCTATGGCAGGACTTGGCTTATAGAGAGAGTAACAGAGAACGCAAGTGTCAGTGATGGGAAGGAAATGATCTGGGAGCAGATGGTGCTAGTGGAGAAAGCTAGAAGAGAAGTCAAATTGCAAAATAACCTAGAAGAAAATATAGCAGGAGCCACCTTTCTCCTGGACAATCCCGCCCCAAGAACCGCAAAGCTGTGTCCAAGACAACAAAGGGCCTGTGAATCTTTAAGAAGCCACTTCTGCTTTTTCTGTTCCAAACCCAAATCAAGCACTCTCAGCAGGACAGGGTGGGGGAAGGAGGTGGTGGCTGGAGAAGCCTGATAGCACCGATTAACAGTCCCTACTGTATGCAGAGCCCTGCTCCAGGTTTCATCTTTAAGAGATGAAGGTAAGGTGGAAGCAGCTTTGAAATTCACCTGAGTAGTAAATGTGGGTAACCTTTCTGGGCAGGATGTGATGGGCAGGAGGGAGGGACAGCTGTGTGCTACAGAGGGAGGGGCAGAGGGCAGTGTCCCTGGAAATGAGAGACAAGATGACAGCTCTCACAGCAGCTCTGAGGTCCAACACTAGCATCTCAGAAGGACAGAAATTATTTCATGCAATAGCAGCATTGTGGCCCTTTTGTTATAACTCTACCAGGGGTGATGATGGTGGTTGTCATTATAGTGACTGTAGGAGCAGAAACTCCAGCTCACTTTGTGCTATAACTATGTCCAACTTTTTTTTTTTTTTTTT